GTGGACGCCGTGGACGCCGTGGACCCCGTGGACGCCGTGGACGCCGGGGCGCCCCCGGGAAATACTCGAGTTGTGTGGGCCGGGCTTGCTTTAATGGGATCTTTTGTCGCTGATGACGTAATGAGAGCTCCGCCTCCACCCTTCTCTCTTTCTCTCTCTCTCTTTTGTCTCTCTCTCTCTTTTCTCTCTCTCTCTCTCTCTCCCCTCTCTCTCTAATCGGCAGAGCGGCGCCTTAGAATGGTCTGTCCTGCTCTGGACAAGGACACTACAAGCGTAAGAAAAAACGAAAAAAATTTTGGGGCCATTTAGAGAGATTTTCAACCCTACCCGTTGTCCAGTATACAGGCTCCGACGCGGGGGTGTCAAAGTGAAGTCTCTGATGGGAGAAAAATCCGGCTCTTAGCCCCCCCTAGCACACTTCCTGTATAGAACATAAAATTTTGTGTGAGCATATTATGGAGCCTTTTTGTCTTTGTTTATATAAGGCGTTTTTTTTGTACACAAAAAAAAAGCAAAAAAAGAAAAGTGTAAAACAAATTTAGTTTGTACACGGTAAAAACGATTCCTGGTTTTCCCCGGAACTCCGGGAAATCACCAAAGTGTTAACCATAGGCTTCCTGTGAAAACCAGGAACCGCTTGTACCGTGTATCGTGTTTCCACAAAATTCTTCTTGTACTAATGCCAATCGCCCTGGAAAAATTTCTGAGTGTTCCCAACGGGGTCGCAGTTCTTCGTAAAAGGAGGCCGTTTGACTGCCCTCCGAGTTCATTTCGGAGTGTCACTCGATTTGACACGCAAAGCCCCGCATGGCGTTGATGGGATTTTTGTTTTTGTTGTTGCAGGCTGGTCGCTATGGCAACGAGCACGTCGGCGAGATGAAGGCGAGAGGCGCTGCCGTAAGTCCCTCATCGTGATAGCTTATTTCGCGATACATTATTCATTCCCGGGCGGGTCGTGGTGTGGGGCTTGTGCGTCTTTGGACAAAGTAGCCCCCGAATGTACATGTAGCCTCAGCGCGTCGGCCTCAAATTTCTGCTCGCTCAAATAAAAGCGTCATGCCTGCACCAAAAAAACTAGGCACTATTTTGTAATCGCACACAATAAGTCTACGATGCTTCGTTTCCAAATTTAGATAAAAACGAAGGCACCACCAAATCTGCAGGGAAATGTCGTATTTGGAGCAAACCAAAATTCTTCGTAATACGCCTCATTTCTGAGGCAATTCAACAGTGTCATAATTATTTTGCTGATACCTCGGAGACTTAGTGCGAGTCGCGTTAAATTCGGTGTCATGTAAAATCGAAAGCCTCGTAGGTGTGAACAACGAAAAGCTGTTGGGGGGTATCGTTCAGAGTGATCGTCCACGATTCCCCCGAGTTTGACGATGGCTCGGTCGGACGCGATGACTTATTGAAAAATCTCAGGAGGGGAAAAAACTGTCCTGAATTATGGCATTCCATTCAGAATCTTCCCTTCAAAATTGGCAGTGTTTTCCCGGGTCTTTGTGGCACATAGCACAGTTTCTACACAGGAAATAAAGAGATTTCCGGAAGCCCCCAACCAATCAGTGCCGAGGGCGAAGGGAGCTCATTGTCACCTGAGAGTCCCAGGCGTCGCTGCCTCCCTCCAATCGCTGCCCGGAAGTGGCGAAGCGGCGCTGCCTGCACCGGATCCTCGCTGGAATGGCTGGCCCGCCCGGGCTGTCTGGGCAGCCCGGGCTGTTCTGACCCTCCCCGGGACGCGGAAGGGATTTCGGGACCCGAGCGCGCAGAGCGAAGGGCATCCCCCCTCCCACTCCCTCGTAGGAATGCGGATCCTCTGCCATTCATTTGCCCAGCAGCCCCGCGCCCCTCGGCCCGACCCGTCAGCAGATTGATTCCATTGGGTCGCGTCGCTCTGTCCCTCTCGCACCCCAAAGGCACGTCCCACGAGAGTGCGGTGAGACGAAGGGACCGCCTGGAAGCATCCTCAGTGAAGGTTTTAGATGTTTGGGCGCACTGCAAATCCGGCGGCAAGTTCGTTTGCTCGCCACAGATTGGCAAGCCGTTTTGAATGACAAAAAATCCGCAAGCCCCGACGTCAAATCAATTGGCAATGTGTCTCGCAGAGCGTCCCGTAACACTCACCGATTTGTACAAACAGACCCCAAATCATTTTAACGGCTCGATGACGTCCCCTCTTAGCGAGATCAGAACAATTTAGACCGAGATGGGAAGTGCGTCAGTCGGCGCAAAAAAGGGTTTACGACGCGGAGGCTGTGGGCAATCATCCCATTCCACGACGCGAACCTCCTCGGATGGAGCATTCAAAGAACAATATCCTCATCCCCCTGTCACTCCGCTTGGAAACTGTTGGGGAAGTGGGACAGAAGTAGAGTGAGGGAGCGGTGGGGCGGTGGTGCCTGGTTTGACTGTGGCTCTGCTATCAGCAAGAAAACAATGCACCAGACCGCGCTTCCCTCCACCTGCCCCGCGGGGCTTAATTACAATTCGGGAGCCAAGATGGGTTAAATTTAGCGAGGGTTGCCCGGGACTGAGGCCGCTCAGGGTGTTATCAAATTTGGGGCCGCTTGACTCGTCGCTGCATCGAGACTCGGTTCGTTTTGGACTGGCCGCCGGCCGCGGCGTACCACGGTGTACCTGGCTGAAGAGCCTTCGTCTGTTTGGTTTTCAGCTTGTCAACAGATTGGGGGCCCGCCTCGGGCCCCTGAGTCCCAGCCCCTTTCACCATCCGGTTCGCAAGGGCACCCTTGCCACCTCGTCTTGACTCGAGCAGTCCGCCGGTTCGAGTATTAATGGCATTGTGGGAACTTGAATACCCTCATCACCCGCCCCGCCCCGCCCCTTATGCAATGCAGATTGCGGCCCCGCGAGGAGTGTTTTTCGGCCAACAAGGCAAACCCACATGAACGGTGCCCCAAATGCAATCGGCTTCGAATCCCTCGCGGCACCGGGCCAGAGTGCCCGAGGGTCCTCTTCGTGGCGCTGTCTATCTCGCACCCGCGCACTCCCTCGAAACCTTCCAACAATTTGGCTCCATTCATGTAATGAACCAATTGGGTTCGCGTTACAAAAATTTGTTGGCAAAGTTGCGAGAGTGTGGGTCATGAATTCTGCCGAGCAAAAATTTAATTCTCACTATGAAATGAATTCCTCGTCACATACAGCACTGCAAAATCCTGCGCAAACCCCTGAACCTGTGCTGTATGAGTGGACTGCGACACTGTTGTATAAAAGTGTGACGTCACACTCATAGGAATTTTGTCGCGTTCGTTTGAATTCGATGACTGACACGAAAATTTTCCAGTCGTTACCCCCCGCGTCACACTCGTTGGATGACAGTTGTGGGCCAGAGCGATATAGTGGCGCTGGCGGCCAGGAACCCACAATGGCCGTGTGGCAGTGCGGGACACGACGGGACACGAAAGGTCCCGCGCCCCGTCGGCTGTCACGCGGCCACCCTAAGGAGTCGTGCGGGCCAAACTAAACTCCGCGGACGAAATCGCTGGGGTTTGGTAGTTGCTCGTGGGCGAGGTAGGAGGGACCCCGAGGGTAGTTGTTAAGCTGTCGTGTCGACAAAGCCGTGGACCCGGCTCAGCGCGCTGTCGCGGCGAGGACAGCGTCGTACCTGGCGGTGCTGCACAGACTGGGTCGTGGATAGCGGGCCTGCCGAACTATGGAGGACCGTGTAGAAAACACACAAATACTACTTATCCAAAATGACAAATCTAGTCCAAGAAACAGCTATCCCATTTTACCGCCCGTGTTCCAAAATGTACCGAAGTGAGCCTCGACCGGGGCTATCCATTGCAGAATAACAATCCCGGAGCAGGAGAGCGGTTATCTTGATGGGTGCGTCGCGGAAGAGTGGACTTGGATCTTCCTGCTCAGACATCCCCTCGGCGGCCTCGCCGAGCTCCTGTCCCCTCATAGCGTTTTAAAGCAGCGGCCGCACGATTATCGGGCCGTGTCGTCTGGAGGGGCCGGGGAAGCCACGGGCAAGCTGACCCTCGCCGAACCGCGGGACCCTCCTCGCCTCGAGTGGCCAGTGATTGCAGTCCTCGGAAGTCGAGGGACCTTGCAGCAAAGCCCTCCAGGCACCTGCTGCGGGGCGGGGTGAGGCGGGGCGGGGCGCGGCAGGGCGGGGTGGGGCGGAGTGGGCCCGAGGGGCACTTGCGCAGCCTTTTGATGTGTTGTGAGGCGCGAAGCCGTGCCGAAAGGCCGGAAGGCTAGTGGCGGCCTGGCCGGGCCTCCGCCGGAGGGGTCTCGACGAGGCGGAAGCGAGTGGAAAAGCGGGAAACCCGTTTAACCCCCGGATGAATGGCAACCTTCACTGGCTTGGCCAAGCCTGCCGTGTTCGTGGTCGGAACCTGGTTTCCCCAGGAAGCCTATGGCAAAGACATAGACGCTTTGCAGGGGGTCCCTGGGAACACCAGGAACCGTTTTTACCTTTTAGTTCAATGACAGTATGGGGACAGTGATGGTACTCCGGGTGTGCCGATAGGAAAAAATCTCTTGCCGTTGCGTAACGCTCTGTCGTGTGTTGCAGGCTGGCGGCATGGCTGCGCTGTGACTGCGCAGCCCGTCCCGGCCGGTCCGCCGTCCCTGCCGCTACGGCTGCCGCTCCGGGATGGGCGCTGCGTGCGGCCGGTGGCGGCGCCGGTGGCGGCTGGGGGCGGGCGTGGTGCTGCTGCTGCTGGCGGCACTGGCGGCGGCGGCCCAGGGTGCGTCCACGCACCGCGATGCCCCGCACCACGAGCTGCCCACCCGCATCGGCGAGCACGTCATCAACGCGGACGCCGCGTCCTACCACCCCGTGGACCACCCCGTGGAGGCCGAGGCTGACGCTGAGGCCGCCTTCGCGGACGAGGACCGCGAGGACCGCGACGTCGACGCGGAGGACGTGGCGCGGTTCTACTCGTCTTCGAGTCGCAGCAGCGGTGGTGGCGGCGGCGGCGGCGGGTCCTCGACGTCGACGGGGCGCCGCAGCGGCATCCAAGTCGGGACCAACCAGGCGGGCGGCGCGCGCGTGACGGGCTCGGGGCGCGGCCAGAGCGCCATCAAGATAGGCGCCACCAACACGTCGCTGCGCGCCAACATCTCGCTCATCTCCCCCAACCGCACCACCAGCCTGGTGGGGACCAAGCCCAACCGCACGCGCCACGAGACGACCTCCACCACCACCACGACCACCACGACCACCACCACGACGGTCTCGGCCACCGCCGCGGCCGCCACCACCACCGCGCCGCACTCCGAGGACGACACCGAGACCCACACGGACACCCGGCGGCACGGCTACGGCACCGGCAGCAGCTTCGCCGGTACGTTCGGAGGGCCAAGCCCTGGCCCTACACCAGCGGTTCTCAACCTTTCTCGGCTCGCGACCCCAAATTTGTAGCCAAAAATAGGGACGGGCGATTTCCAAATTTTAGTATCGCGATTGCGATTTCTCATATATCGCGATTTCATGCGATTAATCGCAAAATCGCAAGAATCGCAAAAATCGCAAAAATCGCAAGAATCGCAAGAATCGCAAAATCGCAAAAATCGCAAACAAACGCAACAATACTCATATACTACCCATTATGGCACAAAATCTTTTTAAAAAGTGCCCAAACAAATTCCTGAGTGGTCAAATGGCAGGCTAGTGGCACCGACAACACGCGCCAGCCTCGTTCGGCGCAGTGGTCGCGAAATCCATGCACGGTGCGATTTTTGCGATTTAGCGATTTTTTGCGATTTTGCGATTTTGCAATTAATCGCCGAGGTTCAAAAACCGAAATCGCGCCGCGATTTTTTGAAAAAATCGTATCGCACCTGCGATTAATCGCAAAATCGCCCGTCCCTAGCCAAAAATTTCCGCGACCCCCAGGAAAAGTTTCGCAACCCCACGGGACCCCTCCTTTAGCATGCCACTGCGTCTGATCCGAGGCGGGCATTTTGCTCCCTCGACGGGCAATTGTTCCTTGGACCTTCCTTTAGCATGCCTCTGTTACGGAATGCGATTATCAGTCTTAGTTTGGGAGCAGTATTGTCTCAAAGTTGGCCAAAACGCTCAGAAATGTCTTTAAAAAATCATGTTTTGGGTCGATTTTAAGCAGCCACTGCGTCTGATCCGAGGCGGGCATTTTGCTCCCTCGACGGGCAATTGGTCTTTGGACCTTCCTTTAGCATGCCTCTGTTACGGAATGCGATTATCAGTCTTAGTTTGGGAGCAGTATTGTCTCAAAGTTGGCCAAAACGCTCAGAAATGTCTTTAAAAAATCATGTTTTGGGTCGATTTTAAGCAGCCACTGCGTCTGATCCGAGGCGGGCATTTTGCTCCCTCGACGGGCAATTGGTCTTTGGACCTTCCTTTAGCATGCCTCTGTTACGGAGTGCGATTATCAGTCTTAGTTTGGGAGCAGTATTGTCTCAAAGTTGGCCAAAACGCTCAGAAATGTCTTTAAAAAATCATGTTTTGGGTCGATTTTAAGCAGCCACTGCGTCTGATCCAAGGCGGGCATTTTGCTCCCTCAACGGGCAATTTGTCTTTGGACCTTCCTTTAGCATGCCTCTGTTACGGAGTGCGATTATCAGTCTTAGTTTGGGAGCAGTATTGTCTCAAATTTGGCCAAAACGCTCAGAAATGTCTTTAAAAAATCATGTTTTGGGTCGATTTTAAGCAGCCACTGCGTCTGATCCAAGGCGGGCATTTTGCTCCCTCAACGGGCAATTGTTCCTTGGACCTTCCTTTAGCATACCTCTGTTACGGAATGCGATTATCAGTCTTAGTTTGGGAGCAGTATTGTCTCAAAGTTGACCAAGACAGGCACAACGATTTTTCAAAGACATTTCTGAGCGTTTCGGCCAACTTTGAGACAATACTGCTCCCAAACTAAGACCGATAATCACACTCCGTAACAAAGGCATGCTAAAAGAAGGTCCAAAGACCAATTGCCTGTTGAAGGAGGACGAAATACCGCCTCGGATCAGACGCAGTGGCTGCTTAAAATCGGCCCAAAACACGATTTTTCAAAGACATTTCTGACCGTTTTGGTAAACTTTGAGACAATACTGCTCCCAAACTAAGACTGATAATCACACTCCGTAACAAATGAATGCTAAAGGAAGGTTCAAAGACCAATTGCCGGTTGAGGGAGCAAAATGCCCGCCTCGGATCAGACGCAGTGGCTGCTTAAAATCGGCCCAAAACACGACCCCAGCTACCTCGCCGCGACCCCTTAAAATTTTTTCGCGACCCCATTTGGGGTCGCGACCCTAAGGTTGAGAACCACTGCCCTACACTGTGGTGACATTTTCATCACTTTCAAATGATGGCATTTTCATCGCAATTTGTTGACATTTTCATCAAAGCTTATTGCATGGGCCTGACAACAATGTCCTCCATTGTTTTGATGGCATCATTCTTGTAAGAAAAAAAATGATGTTATTGTCATTAAGAGAAAACCAAAATTTCCACAGTGAGTACATTCAGGTGCATGCGCCACAAAGAGAATTTTCATCACAACGTGGAATAACCTCGACTGTACGACTCCACGAGTGTAGTGGTGCGTGGCCCTTACAGTGGCGTGGTTCCGCAGGCACGGCGTGGGACGACGGCGGCAAGAAGCGTCTGCGCGTGGGGCTGGTGCTGCCCTACAAGTCGTTCGGCGTGCGCGACTACACCAAGGCCCTGACGGGGGCCATCGCCGGCGTGCAGCGCAGCACCTCGCGCGGACGCAACCTGGTGCTGTCCAGGGGCTTCGACCTGCAGGGCCGCATCAGCATGATGCCGCTCACGCCCAGCCCCAAAGGTGAGTCCGCCTCGTGTCACATCGTTGCACTGCGAATCCAAGTGTGGGCAACTTCACATTTGAAATGCGGGGATGTGGAATTTTCAGTCTCCGCACTTCGAAGTGCTGAGTTTGGTGGAGAGAGAACTCCACTCTTTTGAAGTGTGGAGTTCTCTCCGTTTGCACCATTTCTAGGCATAGGAGCGCTGTGGGCCACTAAACTCGAAGTGTGGAGTCTAGAAGTAAAGTCAGTGAAGAACTGCTCCATGCCAGAAAGTGTGGAGTTCTCCACCCTGGTTTGTCACGGAGAATATGAGGGCGTTATAATGTGCTTCGCGTTGTGAAGTTTTCTGCTTCCAGCATTTCTCCGTATTACAAAGCGATGCTTCGCGGACTGTTTTCTGTGTCAAGTCGAAGGCGCGGCCCGCTGCGAATGTCAGTGTGTGCGCGCGAGTGTGGCTCGACGTCGACGGGGCGCCGCAGCGGCATCCAAGTCGGGACCAACCAGGCGGGCGGCGCCGCGTGACGGGCTCGGGGCGGGCCAGAGCGCCATCAAGATAGGCGCCACCAACACGTCGCTGCGCGCCAACATCTCGCTCATCTCCCCAACCGCACCACCAGCCTGGTGGGGACCAAGCCCAACCGCACGCGCCACGAGACGACCTCCACCACCACCACGACCACCACGACCACCACCACGACGGTCTCGGCCACCGCCGCGGCCGCCACCACCACCGCGCCGCACTCCGAGGACGACACCGAGACCCACACGGACACCCGGCGGCACGGCTACGGCACCGGCAGCAGCTTCGCCGGTACGTTCGGAGGGCCAAGCCCTGGCCCTACACCAGCGGTTCTCAACCTTTCTCGGCTCGCGACCCCAAATTTGTAGCCAAAAATAGGGACGGGCGATTTCCAAATTTTAGTATCGCGATTGCGATTTCTCATATATCGCGATTTCATGCGATTAATCGCAAAATCGCAAGAATCGAAAAAAATCGCAAAATCGCAAGAATCGCAAGAATCGCAAAATCGCAAAAATCGCAAACAAACGCAACAATACTCATATACTACCCATTATGGCACAAAATCTTTTTAAAAAGTGCCCAAACAAATTCCTGAGTGGTCAAATGGCAGGCTAGTGGCCCCGACAACACGCGCCAGCCTCGTTCGGCGCAGTGGTCGCGAAATCCATGCACGGTGCGATTTTTGCGATTTAGCGATTTTTTGCGTTTTTGCGATTTTGCAATTAATCGCCGAGGTTCAAAAACCGAAATCGCGCCGCGATTTTTTGAAAAAATCGTATCGCACCTGCGATTAATCGCAAAATCGCCCGTCCCTAGCCAAAAATTTCCGCGACCCCCAGGAAAAGTTTCGAAACCCCCACGGGACCCCTCCTTTAGCATGCCACTGCGTCTGATCCGAGGCGGGCATTTTGCTCCCTCGACGGGCAATTGTTCCTTGGACCTTCCTTTAGCATGCCTCTGTTACGGAATGCGATTATCAGTCTTAGTTTGGGAGCAGTATTGTCTCAAAGTTGGCCAAAACGCTCAGAAATGTCTTTAAAAAATCATGTTTTGGGTCGATTTTAAGCAGCCACTGCGTCTGATCCGAGGCGGGCATTTTGCTCCCTCGACGGGCAATTGGTCTTTGGACCTTCCTTTAGCATGCCTCTGTTACGGAATGCGATTATCAGTCTTAGTTTGGGAGCAGTATTGTCTCAAAGTTGGCCAAAACGCTCAGAAATGTCTTTAAAAAATCATGTTTTGGGTCGATTTTAAGCAGCCACTGCGTCTGATCCGAGGCGGGCATTTTGCTCCCTCGACGGGCAATTGGTCTTTGGACCTTCCTTTAGCATGCCTCTGTTACGGAGTGCGATTATCAGTCTTAGTTTGGGAGCAGTATTGTCTCAAAGTTGGCCAAAACGCTCAGAAATGTCTTTAAAAAATCATGTTTTGGGTCGATTTTAAGCAGCCACTGCGTCTGATCCAAGGCGGGCATTTTGCTCCCTCAACGGGCAATTTGTCTTTGGACCTTCCTTTAGCATGCCTCTGTTACGGAGTGCGATTATCAGTCTTAGTTTGGGAGCAGTATTGTCTCAAATTTGGCCAAAACGCTCAGAAATGTCTTTAAAAAATCATGTTTTGGGTCGATTTTAAGCAGCCACTGCGTCTGATCCAAGGCGGGCATTTTGCTCCCTCAACGGGCAATTGTTCCTTGGACCTTCCTTTAGCATACCTCTGTTACGGAATGCGATTATCAGTCTTAGTTTGGGAGCAGTATTGTCTCAAAGTTGACCAAGACAGGCACAACGATTTTTCAAAGACATTTCTGAGCGTTTCGGCCAACTTTGAGACAATACTGCTCCCAAACTAAGACCGATAATCACACTCCGTAACAAAGGCATGCTAAAAGAAGGTCCAAGACCAATTGCCTGTTGAAGGAGGACGAAATACCGCCTCGGTCAGACGCAGTGGCTGCTTAAAATCGGCCCAAAACACGATTTTTCAAAGACATTTCTGACCGTTTTGGTAAACTTTGAGACAATACTGCTCCCAAACTAAGACTGATAATCACACTCCGTAACAAATGAATGCTAAAGGAAGGTTCAAAGACCAATTGCCGGTTGAGGGAGCAAAATGCCCGCCTCGGATCAGACGCAGTGGCTGCTTAAAATCGGCCCAAAAACCCGACCCCAGCTACCTCGCCGCGACCCCTTAAAATTTTTTCGCGACCCCATTTGGGGTCGCGACCCTAAGGTTGAGAACCACTGCCCTACACTGTGGTGACATTTTCATCACTTTCAAATGAGGGCATTTTCATCGCAATTTGTTGACATTTTCATCAAAGCTTATTGCATGGGCCTGACAACAATGTCCTCCATTGTTTTGATGGCATCATTCTTGTAAGAAAAAAATGATGTTATTGTCATTAAGAGAAAACCAAAATTTCCACAGTGAGTACATTCAGGTGCATGCGCCACAAAGAGAATTTTCATCACAACGTGGAATAACCTCGACTGTACGACTCCACGAGTGTAGTGGTGCGTGGCCCTTACAGTGGCGTGGTTCCGCAGGCACGGCGTGGGACGACGGCGGCAAGAAGCGTCTGCGCGTGGGGCTGGTGCTGCCCTACAAGTCGTTCGGCGTGCGCGACTACACCAAGGCCCTGACGGGGGCCATCGCCGGCGTGCAGCGCAGCACCTCGCGCGGACGCAACCTGGTGCTGTCCAGGGGCTTCGACCTGCAGGGCCGCATCAGCATGATGCCGCTCACGCCCAGCCCCAAAGGTGAGTCCGCCTCGTGTCACATGCATTGCGTTGCACTGCGAATCCAAGTGTGGGCAACTTCACATTTGAAATGCGGGGATGTGGAATTTTCAGTCTCCGCACTTCGAAGTGCTGAGTTTGGTGGAGAGAGAACTCCACTCTTTTGAAGTGTGGAGTTCTCTCCGTTTGCACCATTTCTAGGCATAGGAGCGCTGTGGGCCACTAAACTCGAAGTGTGGAGTCTAGAAGTAAAGTCAGTGAAGAACTGCTCCATGCCAGAAAGTGTGGAGTTCTCCACCCTGGTTTGTCACGGAGAATATGAGGGCGTTATAATGTGCTTCGCGTTGTGAAGTTTTCTGCTTCCAGCATTTCTCCGTATTACAAAGCGATGCTTCGCGGACTGTTTTCTGTGTCAAGTCGAAGGCGCGGCCCGCTGCGAATGTCAGTGTGTGCGCGCGAGTGTGTGCTTGACAAATAAAAGTGAATTAGCACACGAGCGAGACGAGCGGCAGACTGTCGTGTTGTGTCAGAACCACCCTCCCGTGCACATACACATGCAGCCAGTCGCCCGCAGTCTTGCAAAATGTTTGCTTTGGGTCCGTGCAGTTGTTCAGCTGCTGTGCTGTCTTCCCGTCTGTCTGTCTGCCTGTCTGTCTGTCTGCCTGTCTAGCAAGCGCGCTGGTTGTGTTGCTGGCCCAAATAAAAACCGCAGACGTGTGAAGCACAGCGCGGTGCAGTCTCAGCCATCCCAGTGCACAGTGGGCCACAAGACCCCTGGAGGCGGCGAAAATTCTAGACAAGTTGTGAGCTCCTGAGTTGCTCAGCAGGATTCGAATAGAACGCGTGACCCCACCAATGGATCCCTCGCCTAGAGAGCAATCCATTGGTGGGGTCATACGTTTTGCTTCGAGGACTGTTTAGCGGCTCTGGAGCTCAAAACGCGTCCGGGATTCTGACGCCTCCACCGATCTTCTAGCCCACTGTGCAGTGGTCAATAGCAAAAGCGCATCCTAGTGTGAAAATTTGTTGTCTTTTTATAAGAAAATGTAGGATGACTTTTTTTTTGTGGCTGCTACGAGGGAGGCCCACCGGTGCTAATTCAAGGTGCAGCGGTCTGGGATTTCGTGGCGTCAGACCGGACCAGACGGCCTCGTTTAGCGACCCCACGGCCCACTTGAATTAGTGATGGCTCCTCTTGCGCATGTGTATGTGTGCGTATGCGCGCGTGAGTGAGTATGTGTTTGTGTGTGTGTGCCCGCTCGCTTGGCCCTTTTATGTGGATTCGAGAGTTTGTGTTGTAATGAATGACATAATTATTGTACGTAAATTGCTGGAACCTTTGTGTGTCCCTGTGATGTTCGAGTGACCATGCGTGGTTGCTGTGTGTCCGCTGTCCGACCGAGTTTGAAGCGTTCCACACGACTTCCTGGTGCGGAGTTATTTTTTTCTCTCGCGGAGGCGTCCAGTTTGCAGCACTGAAAAACCAAACCACTGGTGTGGTCAAATAGGTGGCATTTTGACCGCATCGGTTGGTGTGGTCGACCACGTTTGGTCTTTCCATAAAATGACCACACCAAACGCACCAAACATGGTCTAGACCACGTTTGGTTTTTCAGTGAGGGCCCCATTTTCTTGGCGTAGTGCAATTGACATGGAGAACTCCACTTTTGCGGATACTTCAAACTCCAGACCTGCGCTTTTCAAGTGCGTGGTCCTCCACTCTTGCTTTGGCAGTGCACCTTCCAGCGGGGCCGGGTTGGGCCGGGCGGAGTGCACCGCGCGCATTCTTGGACAAGAAGGATAAGGGACGTCTGGCCGGGCAGCAAACTGCTGGGGCTTCCTGTTCCACGACCCCCTTTTTCCTGCTTTTTCTTCCCTGCTTCCTTTACTCCAGGGAGCATATCCTCCCCGCTCCACCGCCCGGGCCACCCCCTTTCCCCCCTTGCCCAAGAATGCTCTTCTTCGGACTCACCCGGGGCCGGGGCCGGCGGGCCTAACTGGCTTTAGGGGGAAAAGGGGGGGGGGGGGGCGGTCCGCCGCATTTGAACGAGGTAGGGAGGGTTGGGGGCCGGACAACGGCGGGGGGGGGGGGACCCTTTGCTTTCTTCCTTTGGCCTCCCGGACTCCTCCCGTTCCGCCCGCACCTCCCCTTGGAGTGTTGGACCGTCACGGCGCGCCGCACCTTTGAGGGCTTTTGAGGGGGGGGGGGGACGCGCCCCACCCCCCCTTGAACACCAGCCCAGTAACCCCAAGCCCAGGATCCCGCATCCCCCCCTGGGGCGTGCCCGCAATCCTCCGGGCTCCCCAAAAATCTCCCCTTTTTGGAGTGTGGTGAGCTCACGGGCCCCTACCTCTTGGGAGGGCAAACAACTGCATTTCCAGGCGCGCTGCCAAGTCGACACCTCAACATTTTAGTGTGGAGTGCTAGGTTTAAGGCCGACGCGCACCCACCGAGCCGGCGCCCGCGGAACGGGGGAGGCCAGCCCGGCGGCACCACGTCGGCCCCGGGGCCTACCTGCCTGACGTTTCACCGGGCGCCCGGGAAAAGGGCCTGGTTTTCCCGGAAACTCCCGGAAACCCGCCTTGCCTTCCCTTTGGTTCCGGGAAAACCGGTACGTACGCCAATTCCCCCGGGGGGGAAAAACAAATTGTTTCCCAGGAGGGGTGCCTTTCCCCTGGGGGGAGTCTGTGGACCAGCGCTACCCCCCGGCCGCGTTGGCGGGCTTGGCGGGAGGTTCCCGCCCGCCACGGGGGGGACATGTCCCCCCGAGGAGGGGGGCTCGGCCGTGGAGTCCGCGGCAGGCCCCCCGGGGGCCGCGGCCGCCGGGGGGCAGTCCGCGCCCGGCAGGGGGGGGGGGCCCCGGTTTTCCGCTGAAGGGCGGGGCCCAGACTGGAAGGGGAAAAAAAAGTGCCCCTTCCCCGGCGAGCCGCAATTTTTGGGGCGCGCTGGCAAGGGGCCCGCCGGGAAACGCCGGGTTTTTCCCGTCAAAACATGGATTTTTAAATGCGACGTTTTTTTTAAATTTTGCCCAAACCCCAAAGGAGATCATCCCTTTGCCCAATGTTTCCCCCGCAAAAATGAACACATTGTCAAAATTTTTAAAAATCCTTTGGGATTTCATGCAAAACACCTTAAACCCTTAAAGATTGTGTACCGTGTTGTACCTTTTTTTGCTTTCTCTGGGGTGTTTCGGGGGAAGGCTCGGGTCGAAGTCAGGAGCGACATCTTGCCCGGAAGCGCAGGTTGAACCGCGGGGGGGGGGCACACGTAAATAACAAAAGCACATAACTCGCCGGATTGTGCAAGTTTTGACAATAAGTGTGTCGTTTCGCTTCCAAAGCAAGCAAGTTGAACGATTTGTTTCGGGCCGACATGGACCTCTGGCTTCCGCCAGTCCCCGACCCTGCGGGAAGTTTCTTCGTTTGGCATTTCAGCCAGTGCCTGCTTCACTTGGACTCCCGGGCCGGGGATGGCCCCCTCCAGTCCCCCCAGCCCCCGACGGGAGGGGGGCCCTCCACGACGGTGCTGTCAACTTTCTGAACTGTTTTGGAAACATGAGCCGACCGCGGGCCCCCCCCCCCCAATCCCCTCTCCCTGAGGCCCCACTTCAGCCCCGACGTCCCCGCGCCGCCGCACGGAGGCCCCAAGGAGGCCCCTCCGAGGACCCTTTTGGCCTGTCAAACCGGGGACTGCTTGAAACACCTTAGCACACGCCACAAGGAAAACCCTTGCGCGCGCGCCAACAACAACCCCAAAACACATGGCGCGCGGCGGTGCCTCCCCCTGCCATCAGGCCTGCGGCGGACGGGTTCCCGGGCATCTGGGCGTGCACTGCGTTGCCCGTTGCCCCCCCTGTGTTCGGGCCTGAAAGAAGTTTGGCTGCTTGTATGAGAAATTTTGGGGCCTTTAAACCTGGAGGGCTAGGAGCGCGGGACTCGGGGTGAAATCGTGGCCGGGGTGGGGGCGGTGCCCCTCCCTCCAACGGTGCCCTCCCCTAGTCCCGGGCATGGGCAAATCGGGGGGCTGGGAACCTTTTCGCTCAATCAATCATTGGGGGCTTTTGCCCCCCCTCCGGCAGGGCCTGGACCTCATTGGCGTCAAGTGTTTTTGTTTGGTTGGCGTTGGTCATCGTCGCGTGCCCCTTGTGTGTTGTGGCCGGGCTCTTTGCCCGGGCTTTGGTTGCCCCTGCGGCTTCGCGAAAACAAGGTGGGAATACGCCCGGGTGGATTTTTTTCCAAATTTGGGAGCCGCTTTTTTAAAAAAAGGTTGGGAAAAAATATTTATTTTTTTGGTGGATGTTTTTTTTGGTAGACACAACGATGCCATTTCGCTTCAAGTGTAGAGTTCTCCACTTTTTTGCACCAAGGGGTTGGGGCTCTGTAAGCTACTCTGCTCTGCAAACTCCACGCGTCCAGATTCTTCACATTTGGTGTGACTGTGTGGCGGGCCCACGCCAATTTCTGGCGCACAGTCGCACTGCCGATGTGCGCGCCGCGTCATGTTGGGCCCTCTTTCCCCCCACAGTCTCTGTTTTGTTGTTGATCGAGTGGCATCGAGAGTGGGGGCGCGTGCGCTGCCGTGCGCTGGTCCGGAAAGGGTTGTTAGTTCGCTCCCAACACCCCCACCCCGTTCACCACCCCCTGCACTGGCTGTTGGGCCAAACAGGGATGCGACGAAAAATAAGTGGGTCCGTGGTAGAGTGGGTAAAAAGAGTTGGCATTGCTCGACGTGGTCATGATCTGTTTGTGCAATTTTAAAGCGATTACAATTGGAGGAAAACCCTTACTAGAACCTTGGAACGCTCTTTGGAACGAAAAACAGCTCCGCCCTTGCCCATGTAGCGGGAGATTGCAAACTCTGCCCTTTGAAGTGTGGACACTGCAACTCCCACACCTCCGCGCTCCCAGAGTGGAGTAGTCCGCATTTGGGTTTTCGCCGTGCCTCGCTCCACGTCCCGTTTGGCTGGTCGCATGAGGAGGTCTGGCTCCAGGGAGGTCGAGCAGCCCTGCTATTCCGTGAT